GGCTAGGTTCAGTACAAGGATCTACATGATATACGTTGTCAAATTATATGGAACAGTTGATACATGTACTATAGTCATACCTGGTGATACATGATTCAGGGAAAATATATATGTCCCTGGTATGTTGCTATTAAGCATCATGCTAGGAGCATTCATAATGGTAGTACCAAATGGAAAGAAAGACGGATCAACTGGTACATAATTACTATTAATGAGTGAATCTATTCCAGCATCAGCTGATGCAATGCGTACATTGACATAAAGTGCAATACCAAATGTAATGTTTCCATTAGTAGCAACAATTAATTGGAAGTTACTGCCCTAAAAATAATAAATAAAGTGATTAGAGTGTAACTAGCTATTATTAACAGTATTTCATGCATTAAGTAATAATTGTACTAACTTGGTTTGAGCCAGTTTTTAGATAATCTATCCATGTTCCTATTATTAATTGTGTAGGAGGAGATGTACTGCAGAAAGTATTAGGAAATCCTTCATTAATCTGATCCATTGCTCTGTTTATGAGCCCTGGATCAGCAGTAGTCCTGCCATATGCTTTAGTATTGGAAAAATCACCTGAAGACTTGAAGAGCAAATTCATAGAGATACTATCACCATTATCATTTTCAAATGTCAGGAACCCCCTGATTCCAACCTATAGATCATATAAGTAAATGTTATAAACCAAAACTAAAACACTAATTGTGTATGTGTGTGTGTGTGTGTTACTAACGTGATATCTTGTTGCTGTAAGTCCAACTGAACCAAGTCTAACTAAATTATCAATTGAAGGCTGCAATGGTTTATAAGTGATGCTAGATTCAGAGCTTATGGTGTCCCCAAGTTCTGTACCATATGGGTACAGGTCAGACAGTGTTAGACCATTTGTATAACATGCACTCAGTATAACCTGTAAAGATAGTACCATACACTATCATATATATTGTATCTTACCAGTATAAATCCTATAAGCAGTCCTGATCCCATACTGAGGCTGTTGTTGTTTTGCAATGAATTCAGCTCCCACTGTCTACCACTTTTATATCATCATAGAAGCCACAAAGTATGCAATAAACAGAAACCAGTGAAGTGCCTTTGACATCATAGTATGCATGATCACTGATTGCACCCACTGACTAATAGTATTTTTTGTCTGTCATAGCCAGAGCTAATAATAATAATAATAACAAAAATGAGTAAATGATTAAGAAAAAGAGTCAATAAAAGATTTAATACACGAAAGAGACCGAGACATTTTTACAAATGGTGGTAGAGAATTCCATTTGCTTGATGGTTGTTGGGTAAAATGATTAAAGGAGGGACGAGGATTTACAATAAATTTGTTGAAGATTACCTTTAAAATTAGAACGAAGATGGTAGGGAGATGGAGGGGATGGAATCAAGGGGTTAGATGGAAGAATTAAAAAGATTCCTTACTCTTAAATAAAGTGACTAGTTTAGCCTTTAAGCAACAATGTGCAAGGGAAGATAAATTAAATGCCGATAAAAGATCTGTGTATGATGTGGATCATGATTTTGATGATGATATTAAAGGTATAATAACTACTTTTAATATTTGTCTCCATTCCAGTAGTATCATGTATCATGTACATCAACAGAAAGAGCAATACCAAAATGTAATGTCCATTAGTTACAATTACTACTTGGAAATTAGTATTATTATTGATCTATAATGTGTGCAACATGCTTTTAAAAATTTTAACTGCTGCACATTAGTTACTGATTAGTATCATGTTCCTTAATAGGTCTATAACAAAAGTATTTTCACTTTTCTTGTTATTACCTATGAGAATCACTTTACTTTCATTTTGTAACAACATAAATTCCACTATTGTAAACAAATTTTATTATTTTAAAGAAGTTTGTAGCTCTTTCACTTTCTTTTGTTCTACCAACAAATTTTTGATAATTTGTAAAAGCTAGCTTTTGTGAAATTATAATATGTTTCCACAACACTGTCGGTATGTAGATGCATGTTATTTATTGACAAGTAGGCTATTATTATTTGCTATTTGTCACATATTTCTGGCAAAGGTTTACAATTATGATTGAATTATTAAACACGTTGATTATACCACGTTTTCCCTGTAGTAAACATTGAATTTTTATAAAATCACTGAGAGAACTAGTTTTATAATAGATATAGTCAGAAATGTATTCAATTGTACTTGTTTTCTCTCTCGTTCTTTCGTCAGTTTCCAGTCAATGGATTAATATAACTAATGAATATGAGTTGGAGAATTTCTTGTGTAATGAGACTCATTCACTGGATGATGATATTGTGCTGGTGTTATCTGATAGCATCACTCACTTCATTAGCAAAAATGTATCATTTTGTGGTATGATTAATGATACCCACTCGCTGACACTAACCAGTGAATCCTCAAAGCAAGCTATTATAGAGTGCAATGATTCCAGTACACCACCAAACAGTGGGTTTGCTTTCACTAATATACACAACCTGACTTTAACCAGGTTAGTATTCAGAGGCTGTGGTGAACAATTGAAGAGACTAGCTGCAATAGAATCAATCAATTCTAGTGCATATCCAATACATTTCTCACAGTATCATTCAGCCGTTTTGGTACTTCTTCACATCAATACATTACTCATTGATGAGGTCAATATTACCAACTATCATGGCTTTGCTATTCTTACTATCAATCCAAAAAATGCATTAGTTTGTAAATGTAACATTACAAATTGGATAGGTCTAAAAAAGGATGCTGGATCTGGTTTGTTTTTGCTCTTCACTGATGTCACTGGTGTACCATTGCCTCATGATTGTAATGTTACAATCCAGCAGAGTACATTCAACAATAATAATCAATATTACGATTCAAATGGAAAGTCTATTTGTAACACATATCAGAAGCATAATCAGAAACACTTTCAAATCCTTAATGCTGCAGGTTTATCAGTTTTTTTTCTGCAAAGAAAGTTTGGAGCCAAAGTTCATGTGATGCAATCAAGTTTTGTTTCTAATCATGGGATTTTAGCTGGAGCAGTTTTGGTGATATTCTACAACAGTCTGAAGCAGTCACACATTGCTATAGCAAACTCTAATTTTAGAGAGAACTATTCTAACAAGAATTGCCCTGGATCTGACCTATCACTTATTTTTCATGTCAGTGATCATGAAAAGATAAAACAGAAGCAATACAGCCATCAGTTATTTTCCCTTTATGTTTTGAATAGCAACTTTTCAGATCATCATTCACCAAAGGGAGATTCC